ACCTTTTTTTAGGGTCTAACTAAGGTTATTTTAAATTCAGTAATAAATCGAATACGATATATTTTTAATACACTCTTGAACAAACTCTAATCACAAGAGTGTACGTTTTTATTATATATTTTATAAAAAACCGCACACGCTTAAGCATTTCATGCATCTTATGTTTTATAAATAAATGGGGTTGCTTGATATATGAAATATAATACATAATTTTAGATGTAATAGTTTGCTAGAGTTTTTACCTTATTTGTTCAAACATAAAATAACGGATCTTATTATTAAAATTACAGTAAAAAGTAAAACTTACTATATGATGAGAACATTGAGTATTAAATAATAAATTTAAAAATTTTATTTTTTATTAACACAAGTTTTATAACAATTTTTAAGATTATGCAATAGTTTTCCAAGAAACCAATTTATCTTGATCATGGAGTCGTATTTAATTCTCAGAACGTATTTATAACATACATAACTTATGCATCAATATAATATTGTAGTTATATAGCCCTCGGCTGTTAAGGCGTTGGCGATAAAACCTTTAGTACTGTTGTGTTCGCCTTAGCGGAATGTCCAAAAATTCTTCGGCAGTACTTATGGAGCACTGAGACGCATTTTATTCGTTTAAATTATATTAAATTTTAAACAGTGGTCGTATTGGAGGAGACTTACTATTGCCATACAGCCAAAATCACCTACTTTCTTAATATCATATCTTAGCGCTCACGATATGAATGAACTATATTACATCTCCCTTACTTTACAACTTTAATGTTAGCCCCCCCCCGCGTCGCTTAAGGTATACATATAAGTACTCAGTATTTGCGCGCAAACGATAAATTTTATTATACTCCGGTGAAAGGCCATTGCAGTAGAAACACCGGTCCGATGAGATATCTTACACTTAACTGACGATCGAATGAAAATAAAAAAAGAAATAACGTAATACGTTACGAAGGTGAAGTGGGTATGTTGTGTAATTCTAGAAGATTGTGGACTTGCAGGAAGAGGGTACATATCTGTCAAACCGTCGGGACCTTTTTCAAATCACCCTGGAAAATCCATTGAAATAGAAGAATTTCTCAGTCGATGCGTTGCCGGTAAAGGCGACGACCCCCTAGAGATTATTTATGGTCAATGGACGAACTTTTAAATACATATAACACATATGTGATATTAAAAATTTGAAATCATCTAACTGGAAGAACTAAAAATGTTTTATCGACTTATTGAATTGATTTTTTTTATGTGAAACAGGTAACTAAGTGTAAGTTTATTATTTTCTGTTAAAAAAAACACGACATAGTAAACCAATGCTTTTTCAGCTATGTATCGATATCGCGTCGGATATAAAAAAAAAGGGAAAATATTTAGGAAGAATTATTGACTATATAGACAAAAAATTATTTAAACAATACTTTTACTTTCGGTACTTGCAAAAATGAGCTGGGACATACACGTGTTGGTTCTATTTAGGTGCACTTTATTCTGATGAAATTCCTGTGCAGGTTTAAAAAAAAAAGAGAATGAAAATACTCTTAAAGTATATCTTTTTTTATTCATTTCGTGGTTTTAATGTAAAAATATTCAGATAATTATCGAACACTTATATTTAATAACTTACGCAACCATAAAATGCTGAACTCAAATTCTTTCATAAGTGTCATGAATTTCCGAAATGTTTTCGAAATAACTGTTTTATAAAATATAATATACTTAAAATTTACGGAAAAATTATACCATTAACAATTATTATTTTTGGCAGAAGTTCAAGATACATTTTTCATTTTTTAGTGGGACAACTCTCAAACTTTACTCATAAAAATGATTAAAGTTCCATTTTTTCTTATAATACGATACACGTGTGTTTTTAGTAAAACAGATTCTTAATGAAAAATGAAAAATATCAATACACTATTAAGTTTTACTATTTTTATTTAATGAATGTTTCTCGAATTAATGTTTTGATAAAATAATTAATAATCACCATTATTTTTATATTGTATATTATTAAGATCAACTTTTATTTATTGGGTAAGTTTCTATTAAAAGCTAGTATTTTAATTTCAATTTTCGTAGCTTTTTTATTTTAACTGAAAAACTAAAATTTACAAAATACTTTTTAGTGAATTAAGCACATTTTAATGTACAATAATAATTTTATAAATAATATTATTTTTAATAATAATAATCACTTTAAATAATAAAATTAATATTTTTAGTAAAAATCTTACTCCATTAACGTTAAATTAAATTATTCACATAGTTTTACAATTGTTACTGTGCAGTCATTAGCGTGACCGTAAATAACTTTGCTTTCCTTCTTAATATAGAATAGTTAATCAAGATATAAATTAAATGAGAAATTAATATTCTTGCTATGTACTATATTTAGTTATCACACAGAGATCAAAAAAATATTAAATATAAATTTTATTTTTTGTTTTACTATTATGCAGAACTATAGTAGTACCATTCTATACCATTAAATTTTATCTTAATTCACTAATGGAAACTATTCGTACTAAAATGTATTTTTCCTCTGCATTAATTATAAAAAAGTCGTACATCGAATTAAATAACGTAATTTAATCATAAAAGTATACTAAAAAAATTTTTCTTAAATTTTACTCTTCAAATTTTACAATTATTACTGAAAACAATTGTGGTATTGCAAAATTATAATTAAGTAAATAACCGAAAAACTAATTTTATATCACAAAGAGATTTTATTAAAAATATAGGATACTTATAATCTTTTATGTCAATGTATAGAAAACTCTTAAAGAAACCATATTCTTTTTAAAAAGGTATTGTTAAAGTTAAGCGAACTTGAATGCTACGAATAAACAGGTTACGTGAGATCAAATAATGGTAAACTGTGTTTCGTATTTTCTCTGTTCTATTTTGATAAAATTTCATTTTTACAACTAATAAATGTAAAATTTTTCGTCTGTTTGTAACACATTTTCACAATTTTAATACCTTAATTTTTAACGTCGTCATATTTCTCCTAAACTTTTTATTTTCGATTCAGTGAAAATATAACAAATTTTAATATGGCAATTTTTTAAGGTATAATTTTCTTTGTCACTCAATTTGTACTTACACAAGGAATTCTTCAATTTCTTTAGTATTTTATACATTTTTTTATTTAGAATAATTTTAATGACAGGTCACGACTTTCTTAAATAATAATAGAATTTTTTACGCGAATAAGAGAATAGATGTGATATAAATAAATTTTTAATAAAACGCACGACAAAACTCCAGTTTTTCATAAAAAATGTATTTAAATTTAAAATTATTTTCTTTAATGTAATAATGCTAAGTATAAAAAAAACATAAAGTAATAGGGTGTACAAGTTACTAGCTGCTACATTGTTTTATAAAACTATGCTGAAACAAAAAACTAATTTTTATTTGTATTTTTTAAGTCACTTATTATTAATAAGTTTAGTCTTATTTCTTGAAATTTTATCATATATAATTAAAAAATGATATATATATATATATATATCTCCATCAAATACGGAAAGTATAATCATAAAGAATATAATAAATTCATAAAATATATAAGAACAGATATTTTTAGGGGATGCTTATATTAATTTAGTATCTATATTAGTGTTGTATTTTTTTATTCATTTTGTGGTGGGGTGATCATTATAATTGGAAAGAGTAGTGAAATTTTTCTTTTTCTCATCCTTTTCCTGAAATTAATGAAAAGCGATTATTAGTAGTTTTCAGAGCAATAAAAGTTATTCAAATTATTTGAAATTATAAACCTTAAAAATAAAATTATGAAATCATCAGTTATGGTAAACGATACACTTTTTTGTTTAGCTTTTGACTCTAGGGAGTTAATAATTCGGGACCTTCTCTGTTCTATACAAGGTAAAATAATAATGTTTTTGATAATTTTTTTTGGCTTTTAGATACATGTGTACTTCTATTTATCGGTCATTAAATATTTTTTTTTATTTCAGTCCTAAGTGGCCCTAGTTGTAGGTTTCTCTCTTAAAGAAATCATGTTATCTATTTATTGTTGAAAATTTAAAAACTTACTTGTTGTGCATAACAGATTGAAAATATTTTTATAAAATTAAGTTTTTGAATAAAAAAAGGCCCATTTCTTTATTGTATTTTATAGAGGTGTCAAATTTATTTATTTTTATTGACAGTGCACATATTAAACTAGCTTATAAAATTGAAAATGGCTGGTCGATAACAACTTTTGTATCAGTATTTCGGAAGCTATTTACATTATAATTCAGATGGGAAGAGAAATGCGACCGAGAAAAATAAGAGATGCACTCACGTCTCTTTTCGCGTCTTACTTTAAATTATTAAGAACGGAATACTAGTTAAAAAATTGAAGTTGACCAGTCATTTTCTTATTAATATAATTTTTTATTTCATATGCTAGTTTAATGTATGTCTTGTTGTCATAAAAAAAAAATAAATGATACCATTATAAGATATAAGTGATGGACTTAAAATTATTTTATAACAGATAAATAAACTTACATATGTAACTAACAAAATCTAAAAAAAGTTATTTTAATAAAATTATTATTTTAAGAAAATTCAAGGCTAGTGTTAAAAAAAATAACATATATTTACAAAATTTTGTCTATTATTTTTTTTCGTAGATGAAGAAATTTAAATTTGTAAATTTGAGACTTAACTATTATGTAATTTTTTGTAATAATCTTTACTTTTCTCATTTAAATACTTTAACTATACTAAGTTTAACTATAGCAATTATAATTTATGTGAAATATTTAATATTGGTTTATTTATATTTCATTTTATTAATTTTTTTATTTTATTATTTATACATTACACTGAAGCGTTTCAGTTTTGAAGTAAGATTGATAAAATATAATTATAAAACAAACATGTAACAAGTTTTAAAGAAATGAATATTAATAAAATATAAATTTGCTTTAAGCCATGTAATATAAAAATATCTAAAAAAATAATATGGTGTCGGTAATAAGCTTTCACTTGAGTACATTATCATATTTTAATATTGTAGTTATTCTATAGAGCTCGTTGGAAGATTTTTAATTTATAAGAAATGCTCTTGTTCTTGCTGTGCTTGCCTTATGAATTATTTATTAAACAGTTAATATTGATCAATCATAGTCTACTTAAAGACGACGAATTTGGGCTCCACATTTTTCTAATAATATGTAAAATAAAATGTTTTTCATCGAGGAGATAAATATTTTGTCTGTAAGGACTCTCGATAAATATGCTATGTATTATACAATAGTGGCATTTTTGTCTGTACATTTTTTCATCTCCAAGTTGTATACTTTATAAGTCATTAGCTATCATCATATTCACGGCTGTATTTGGAAAAATAAGAAAAGTTTTTATTAGAAAGATCAGTAACATTACGTAAGATGATACTAATGACAACATTTATCTGACGAAAAAACTTCTTACTAATATATGAAAGGAAGTTGAAGAATGGTGAAAGATTAAATACATTATTTACGTCTGTTTTGTGATTTTTTTTTCAATAATATTTTGCCAAGACCGGAAAAAATTTCAGTTTTAGTTGCGTTATCTTCTTGTACCTAGAATTCATAAAAAAAGTACTGAACATGCATTTGTTAAACGATACAAAGTTAGACATTCGAGACAAGTATTTGATTAGATTTTTAACTTGTTATAAATGTATTTTTTTGTATTTAACAACTATATATTATTATTCTTTATCAACTTACACCACGAAAACCATCTCAGCGCTAGCTATGGATGACTGTTTTATAATGCATAGTGTTGCCACTAATTAATATCAGTTTTGAGATTATATACTTTTTTGCATTTCTGAAACATTTAAACTACATGATATATTTCACTTATGCATAAACGCATGAGATTTATCATGAGCGACATAGGGGATAAAACCCCCGTGATAAAATAACTATAGATAAATATATAGGGAAGATATATTAAAATATTTTTGAGTATTTCCCTTCCTATGACAAAACCCCAAGAACGAAACTTCGTAAACACGACATGCTTTATGCAAATAAACGGTGAAAAGTTTACATTTAATTAAACAACCTTTTTCAATATTTACTGACTTACTGTATTTTGACATTTCATCAATGAAAATAATTGACGGTTTTCCATCTTTAGAATTTTGCTATTACAACAATTAAATTAAAAATTAATTATTAGAATTATCAATCTTAATTATTACCGAGTATCGCTGTTATTAACTCAAAAATCAATAATACTTTTTAAAATTATAACAATAATAAACTATTTTTATTATACATACTAGTAAAAGTTTGGGACAAAATATTTGAACAAGAATTCAAAATACAGAATACAAAATCGATAGAAATTATTAATTTGAGTTAGAAAATCATAAGTTTAATTAGTTAATATAATAGCCAAAATTGTCTCGCACTTATTTCTGTTAAATAATACGGAACATAACTGAAATTTACAGTCATTCTCTTATATATAATATTTATATTCTTCCAATACAAATAATCATCGGTTTTTTATTTTTGTTTATACATCAACTAAACTTTTGTGGGTACATAATGGTATTCATTGTGTTGAAATACAATAAATTTATAAGTTTTAATTATCTATTCAACAAACGGATTTTGAGTTAGTACGAGTATCATCTCAAACTAAATAGTTGAATTATACCCATTTAATCAAAACTTATTTGAAATTTTTATTAAATATAGTCATTTATACTAAAAAAATTTTTTCTTAAAAGAATAAAACCGCTGGTAAAACGTCATAAGCCTTAGGATTTAGTTTACAATATATAGTTTTAAATTAAGTTAATCAACTACCTTTTTGGTGGTATCACTCTACACATCAGTATTCTGTATTAATTGCTTTAACACTGTTACATTACAATTATTCTAATATATATATTTAGAAAGTTAATTTAATATTAAAAATAATAAAGCTAGTTGGAAGTTTAAAAAAAAATAAGTTATAATAAATATTCAATTTTACTGCCCTTGCTTAGATTTGAAATTATCTTATTTATAAATGCTTCTTTTCTAAAAAGAGATAAAATAAAAATGTTATCAAATTTAACTTTAAACAACAAGTATTATTGTTTTAATCTTTATTTTTACTGTGCAGAATCTTTCTATCAAATGATCTGTATGATTTACACAGTGTATTTTTATTTTGATCGTATAATGAAGAATTCAAGTAGTAATTATAACATTATCATAAAATATTTTGAGAAAATACTAATATCTCGTATAAAATATTTTATGTACGCAGTGTAATTATTTTCTTAAATAGAAATTCTAGTTTGAGCACTATACAAAACTTATATGTATATTAATTATATAACAATACAACAAAATTAAAAATAATTAAATTTAATGTGTATAATTTTAATGTATTAAATTTATTTAATATAAAAAATATAAGGACTTGAAAGAAACTAATTGTTAAAAAAATTAATTATAAAACCCGCATAAATACTTTATTACGTAAAGAAAATAAAATTAGAAAGAAACATAAAAAATCTTCATTGAAAATGTATAAACAACTCACATGTTAGGAAAAGAATAGTTAGTCTTCATATTTTTACAATAATTTTTTATCTAAAAAAAATATACTTTGTAATTGAATATACCTTTACACAAAGAAAACGCCTCTTTCAATTTTAAAATTCTCAAAGTTTATGTGTAAAAAGAAAAAATGTTCATGTCAAACCACTACATTAGAGACGAGTTTTATAACAACAATGTATAAAATACTATTTTTTTCTCTAAGAAAGGAATAGGCGTGAGCATTTTATAGTTAGAAGTTGCCAGAAAAAATCCTTTTTTAACGCCTTATATTCTTCTAAATGGAGAAAATAATGGCTAAGTGTAGATTGTTTACTCTGATAAAAACACAAAAGAAATTCTTGGTATTTATTAATTTGACAGCAAGTCAATATAAAGCTCATGTTTCATTAATTATTTAAAATTGCAATTTACATAATGAAACTTATTCCAAAGACAAATTTAATGCTACAAAAAGTTTGTTATCACTAAAGATCTTTTTAAACAGATAAAATAAATCTCGAGCCTTCAAACTGAATTAGTTATTTTCATAAGTTAAGTTTGTAAATAAAAAAAAAACCCATTTCTTTATCGTTGAACAATATCTCCTACATATTTTTTTATTATAATTGGTTAAGAAAACTCTGACGATTCAGTAAAAAACTAATCTGAAGTGAGTGAAATATATAGATAGCTGTTTTATTTATCTTTTTATCATTCCGTCAAAATGATTTTAATTTTAGATCGCGATATTTTTGGTCTCCATAGTAAAGTGGCTTTTCGACTGAAATTGTTCTTATTTTCTGGGTAATTGAATTAGTAAATAATAGAAGCTACTTTTTTTTTGCAACATATTTATTTTCGATGTACTAATGTACTCTGAGAAGTATAAAAAATAAATTGGTAGATATTGACATTCGGACAATGATAAAAGTTTGCCAGATATTTAAAAAAGTATAACTAATAGGGGTACGAGTACGAAAATGATTTTGCAGTTTTGTGAATATTGATAGTATTTTTCTAATTCAGGTATATTTCTCTGAGGAATTATTAATATTATATAATGAAGTAACTCAAAAAAAAAATAATAATAATAAGTATAATTCTAAAAACTTTTTTTTAAAAATTATTTTGATATTGGCATTAACTATAAATCAAGGTGAGAAATTAGAATAGTCATTTACAAGTAAGTCTTGTTGTAATCATTCATTAATATAAAACTAATATTATTTTTCAATCCAACAATACTTTTAATGTTATTACCACGATTTAAAATTTAAAAGTTTAAGTGGTTTAAATCGATTTTTACGCATGGCAAATTGAGAACCGCCTTTCTGTCGCATCTTATGACAATAATAATATGATATATAACACTAATAATAATATTATTTCATCCTTTTTTTAGTGGCTTTTGGATTCTAAGTCTTAAAATTCCAACTGTGAAAAACTCGTTTATTTTATTTTATTATTATTATTATTTTTTGAATCCATAGTATACAGTCAAATGATAAGTTGAAAAATAAATATCTTAAATAAATAATAAAAAATAAAACAAATTCATAAAAAAATCAATAAATTGAATTGGATACAAAAAAGTAAAAAAAAAAAATATTATTCTGGGTTAATACTTTGAATAAGTAATCCTTATTGTGCTTGCTTCACCATGACATAACAAATAAATACTTTTAAAAGTAAACGATTAAACGATGAACTGGAATTACATTATATTTTACATCGAACTATGTTGACTTGTCCTGCATTTAAACACCGTAAGATGTGATATAAACTTCATACTTTACTTTTAATGACACATTCTACTTTAATATTAATCTTAAACTTTTAAATGCTTTTTTTTTTTAATTAACCAGTTGTTTGTTTGAAACAAAACATAAGTAACTTAACTGAGTTGTCCTATTTTGTAACGTAGCAACGGTAAATGCCACTTTATTTTTATATCTTTGGAACATCGAAACAACAAAAACGATAGTCTAATGAAAATTCAATAAAAAAAACAAATTCAAACAGGTAATAGCGCTAACAGAATATGGAATTTTATACTCAGGGGTAGTGCGAGTTTAGTTTAACGGATCACAGCATTGTCTTCTCGTTCATATTGCCTATTTTCTGCTTGAATGGAATTCATGGCCTTAATAATTTACCTACAAAGGAGTATTATATTGGTTATATTTTGTGGTAAACAATAACCAACTATCGTAATTAAATGGTTACACAGTTTATTTACATCATAAAATAGCTATTATTTGAAATTAATAGGATCCCACGTAGACATGTTAAAACTGATAAACGCCTTCCATTGAAAAATAAAATTCTTTGGTGATTAAAAATGGCTATAAACAAAAGCAAAACATAAAAGCATGAGATTATGGAGATAGTATAACACCGAAACAATTTACGTTGTCAATATAATAAGGAAAAAACTTTTTTTAAGCGTTTAAGTTTTTCAATTACTATATATTTTAAAACTCAATTAACTACATTAATAACAAATTTTATTGAGTATAATAATTGGTGTCTTGTAACAAGATTCATTAAAAAATGGTTGATTTAAAAAATGTTAGTATTTTTTCATATTATAACAATTACATACAAATAAAAAACAAAACAAAAAATATATTAAGTATATTTTACTGCAAGAGTAATTTATTGTTTAATACCTTATTTCCTGTAATTACGTATAACCTGTTTTAATATTTAATTTAAATCACAGAGTCAATATATTTTTCTGAAAATTATTTTGAACGTTAAGTATAAAAAGGGTAAGTTCTTTCTAGATTTTCATTACAATGTTCATTTTACATTCAACCGCGAAAAAGAGTCGACCAGTCGAATTATGTAAAAAATATAGCTGGCGTAGTTTAACAAAATGAAGTACTTCAATAGTAGTTAATAAACTAATTAGAAATAATTACATAGATCTCTGATGTATTTTTAAACTGTAATTTTCATATAGACGGTAAATTTAACTATAATAAAATGTTGTAAATAAATTAAAATGAACATCTACTCTTTGATTATCAGCAAACTTCTAGTATACCAAGTAAATTTTTTTATAACTTATTAAGGTTTTATTTAAAAATTGTATAAGTAAAACTTCAACACTACAGAAATGTTGAAATAAGTTATTTTTGTTTCAATATTTTAGTTATATCACGTAAATTGTGCATGTGATTTAATCATATTAAAGTTAACTTATTTAATTTTTTTTTTAATTTTCTTATTTACATTAAATGATCATTGGGATGCATGATATATTTTAAAATAATTCTATTTTTAAAAGACATTTTTTCATTAGATTCCATTTGTCATTTACCGAACCTTAAAACGACTTATTTTTTAAGCTTTTTGAGTAAAAAATAATTATTATTTTCTAAAAATTAATATTACTCGCCCGTTTTTGTATTATTATTACGTTTAATTTTTCTAAAACGTTTTAATCTATATGAAATTGTATATTATTTAAGTAATAAAGTAATTTTGTAAGAAATATGAACTCGTGCCAAATTTTAACGATTTCTTAGGATAATATTTTTAAAATAATCATGACGAAGTGGCAATAATTATTGATTTATGCCATGTTAAATTACTTTCATGCGTACAAAATATAATATTTTTAACTTTAACTAAAAAAGGTCTTTTTAAAATATTTTTTACGATTTCTAAATTATTTAGAATAAGTTATTTAATCATTAGTGTTTTAATAATCAACTTAATTTTCAATATCTTTTATTTATTCATGAATCTTCCATTTTTTAATTTCCAAAGACAAAATAATGTTGAAATAATATAAAAGACAGATAATTTTCATATAACTGAATTTTGATACTCCGTCAGTTTTCATTTCTTAATTTATAAAGTAAAATACCCTACGGACACATTTAAATCAAAAAAAGAAAATGTATAATACACATGTAATGTAATAAATATTATCTCGGGACTAAAATATTAGTAGGATTCTTCCAAGCAATAAAGCATTTGTTTATAGATAATCCTATATTTTCCAAAAGGAAATAAGTACAGAGTTTTCGCAATTACTTTATGGGGCAATTAAATAATTACTATTAGCTTCGTATCACATTTAGAAATACTATGTTTTATTCGTGGCAGTATATTCTAAAAACACATTTACTGAATTCAGATGTACAATATATATATAAATAACTCATAGAATGTTATTTAAGATTTCCTTTAGAATAGACAGAATAACTTAATAACATAAAATGTCTTCGAGATTTAAATTTTTTAGTATTTGAACTGCAGTATTTACTCATATTTATGGATAGCTTATTTATAAAGTTGACATTTTGTAAATGTTATGAACTATTCTGATGTAAAATCACGTAATCCAACTTAGTACCATTTTTTAAGCTCGTTTTTATCCCTTCAATTTATCAAGAAACAATTCATTATAAGAAATTACACATGAAAGACAAACGTGAAGAGTAAACATTATTTTTATGACAATTTTTTTAACTTCTGTAAGTTCCTTTCAATGTTTACTTGATGCTGTATTAATTATCATTTTGTATTTAAATTTGTAATTTTGTAATTTTTTATGTCGGTAAAATATTGATAATATAACCGTAATAGCCATTATTATGTTTAGAGCTTAAAGAATTACTTCCGCGGGTAAGTAAAATAATAAGAACTTGTATTTTTCTAAATATTTTTTCCGGGATATGTAAAGAGTGAGACCATATTATATTGTTTTTCGAAGAAGTGTCATCTTGTATAATATATTTAAAAAATACATGTCCTTTAGTTGTCAATTATATTTTGAAGGCTCTATTTACCTCTAATATACACAAATTTTGTGTAATATACACTAAAAATTACATTTTTATTAAATAAAATAAGTCAAAGATATCTACTAAGCGACGGATCGGCTTGTGATTCGAAAAAAAAAACAAGTTTTTCAAAGTATCTTGGGAATTTATGATGAAAGGACTAACATTTTTTTATATATTAATTTTTACAAAACTTTTCAAGAGTTTTAATAGTATTAAACAAAAAGTTCTGATTTTATAATCATGTTTTATTTAAATATTATTCATAATAGCCATCTTTTTTTTTTTTTATAAAGAAACTTTTTCTAATTCTGACATATCTTCTTTCCTATCAAGGAAGATATTCAACAATACGTTTGAATTTTTACAGAGAACTTTAACTCATTAATATGTGATTTTAGGGTATGTAATTAAAATAAAATTAATTCAATTGTAATAGTTTTATTTTATTAATCACCGTTGAAAAATAAAGTTAACTTATTACTTTGTTATGATAAAACCTAACCAATTATTAAATCATCCAACTTACTCAAATATAGCTAATTTATCACTTTTTTAAATTAAGTCTTTTTACATAAATAAATTTGTTAGCCGGCGAGTTAAACAATAATGAAAGATGTAATACATAAAAATATAAATATATTTTTTTACGGAGAGATTCCTACTTTACCGATTGAATTCAGACAAAATATAACTTGATCCTCTATTCCATACATTTTTAGACAAATATATTTAATTAAAATAGTTCATAATTGAACTAAAATAATCTTTTTTTACTTTAAAAGTTTTGCTTGTAAAATATTTTTATTAAATTTTATTTATTATGAACTTTCTATGATCTCTTTTTCAATTTCACAATTGTAGCTACTGAAGTATTATACATATGACTCTTCAAAGGTCAACATTTAATGTAAATAATTAATAATAATACATCTAAAAGCATTCAATTATATGATAAATGGTATGTATACATAAATGTTTAGGGATATTAAACATTGTTGTCGGTTGAAAATTCTTCATGTTTAATACAAATATCAGGTGTATCAATAGATGTAGTTGACAACGGCTGACATTGTGATTCTATTCTACTTTAAATTCCTTCGAGGGTTTGTAACAACGAAAATAGATAATGTAAGTGCACAAAATGAGATACGTTATTATTATAGGACTATCCTCCATTTGTATTCCATGAAAATCATGTAAACCTTCATCTAAAAAATAACGGAAAAAAATTAGAATAATGAATAAATGGTACTTAGTAATAGGATATTTTTAGTTTGTATGTCTCTTAATAGTAAACTTGATTTCTTCGTACCTAATTCATAGTTTATTAGTACAAGAAATAAAGTGATGAGTGTGTATATCACTTAATGTGCAATTGTCCTTGCATAAGTATTTTTGTATCTTTTCACTACCAAATCATAAATAAATAAACGACTTTATAAAGAATATTGTAGTGCATAAATGATATTATGTTGGTGTTGATATAATGACAATCTTAAGGTGAGTTATTTTCATAAAGAATTAATAAGTCTTTACCCTAAATGGTATCTGCAGTATCACCTTGTATGCAAATTTTCTTTAGTTTGTTCTCTTACTTGTAAAGATAGTACATGTAATAAGTCACAACTGCTAAATTATGATGTAAAATATTCATAAAATCAGTTTCTTTGAATTTGTATATATAGTAAATGCTTTGTTCCATTCTTTAGATCTATACACTGTGAGATAATTATATATAGGTTATCATAACACTCCTACTCTAATTAAATATTACACGGTAGTATAAGACTCGTAATATTATTCATCATTACTTTTGAAAGCTATTTCTTCCACATAAACGAGACAAAAGACTCATCATTATATAAAAAGTCAACTATAATGCTGTTTAATTGCTACGCTCTTTTTGACAGTTGGCAATGACAATTATTTACAAATCTACCTGTATCACAGAACACGACAATTTCTAAAAGTGAAAAATTAAAATTATACTTAATCTAGTAACTTCAATAGTGATACTTATTATGTTACTAAAGTGCTATATTCGAGCGTCCTCGAATATATCTATACATATATAATTCAACTCTCAAATAAGTATAAAATAATATGCGACAATAATAACAATATGCCTCGTTGAATGTTCCATAACCCTCCGTTCATAAATAATATTCTAATGAAGTATCCTGTGCATTGGTACAAGTCCTATTGTCCTGAGGTATCTAAACATTTAAAAGTAATTTAAAACATATGCACAGCTGTGAAATTACTTTGGTCAATACTACAATTGTGAATTAATAAGCATACATTAGAAACAATAAAGGGTCTGAATAAATATTGTTTCTACTAACTTAAAAATAAAATTTGTATTTTAAACTCGCAAATTTAAAATTTAGCAAATATAAACAGTTTGCACAAGCTCACAAAAAAAGGATTTCAAAATATTATTCTAAATAAAAATATTTGTAGTTAATTTTTATTTTTTGTTATCAATTGCCGAGTAACAATACTGTAAGAACAATATAAAAAAAAATTACCTTTAAAATACAATAGTTGAGTAGTATTACGTAAGAATTCGAACAAAAATAATATGATTTAATAACTATAAATTAAGTTATATACCTTGAGATAATCATGCAATAATATAAATATACAAGGCTTAAAGTGAAGGGATATAAGAGAGTCAATTTCTATATCTCTAAAAGTACTGAAAATATTTCATCTTAAAGAAAATTTCGTAAAAGACCACTAAACCTTTTGGTCAAAATTGATAAAAGAATATTTTTTTTTTTTAATTGACTTTGTGTAATATTATGCAACAGTGATAGCAGCTGTCAATTTTTCAAAACATTTACCTTATTTCAACTTATTAACCATTATAATATAAGCATATATAAATAGTTATCATTCATCATGTATAGGATTAAGGTAAATTTATCATAATAATGTTTATTTATTCATTAATATACTATATTAAAATACAAATGTATATAATACATTGTTTTTTTTATGGATAGTTTTTTTTTAAATTTCAAATGTTAACAGAAGTAATATCTTAGAAATGGAAATTTTCAACTAGATTACATTTAGAAAATCTATAGTAAAACATTTTAATAGTTAAAAAATAATAATAAAATAAAATCTATACGAATAATGATTACATAAAGTAATAAACCCGTTTAAACATTTCTTTTAGCCTACAAATGCATACTATGAAAAAACCAAACATTTTTCTCGAATTAATCTATCCTTTGAACCCCAAAAGCAACTACAGAATTACGGATATTTCCTAATGTTTGTTCAAACTCTAAATTTCTAAGAGTTTCTCTAAATTTATTTGTTTAAATAATTATAATTTTTTGAAAGATAAAATGATACACATTCATTGCCGTGACTTAAAACTAAATGTTTATTGTTTAAATAATAGTAAATGTTTTCTATTGCCTAAATTAATAGCAATAACAATAACAGTTTTTTTCCAAACTCTATAAAAAGGAAATGATTTAATTAATAAAGTGCACGTATGAACTTATTCAAAAATTTTGAACATGTAATTATAGAAAATATTTGAATTTACATTTATCAACAAATATTGTTAAATCATTAATGAATTATGATTGGTTATTGATGGATAAATAGGTATAAATTTAAGATTATTGTATGATAAATATTAAATAGTATAATTACTGTAAATTAATTTAGCGAACGCATTATTTTTATTAAATTTAATAAAATTAATGTATTTTACTTTTTTTTAATGCCACTTTTTCCTGAACAAATATTCGAATAATGACATTTAAACAATATTTGGTTGAATAATTCATAGTGTTTTCATGAATAACTTGCGGTTAACGAATAAAACAATTTTAATTTGTTTAATATTTCTATAGGTGTCAATGACCATGGAGAACTGTGCGGAACTATTAGATCAAACTCAGAAGTATTGTTACTTCCGAAAGGATGTACATTTTTGGGCCCAACAGGCGTTACTTCCGGCAGTAGTCGCCATAGGATTGGTGGGCAATATGCTGTCTGTGGTTGTGCTGACAAGAGAGCCAATGAAAAGCTCAACCAGCACGTACCTGACAGCTTTGGCTGTTTCCGATCTGTTCTACCTTCTCTTTGTGTTTACCATATCGTTTGAAAACTACTCTTGGATAGTAGATGCTGACTATTACATCTACTGGAAGTGGTATCCGTACGGTCTGTGGTTAACAGATGCTGCTAGTAAGTATAGACTAAAATATAAACTAGAAAAGCAATTTTTCAAACAAACAACGTTGTTGACACGAAAGAAAAATAAAAGTAAAATATTTTAGTTTTTATTAAGTAAAATTTGAAAGTAACTGATGTTGCACGTGCCTACGCAAACGCCAGAAGTATACATAATATAGAATTATGAAGTATCTTGGGTGATATGCAGGCTGAAGGAGGGGTGATTTTGACGCATTGTTTAATTTAGCAAAAAATCGAATGTCGGTCGTGTTGAAAAGTTTACTGTGTCGAAAAGTTCATAAGCTCATTATTTTCTGTCACGAATGTACACAGTTGCAGCACATTGACACTCACAGACTCGATTGGACACGAGAAGTCTGAGCGAGATAGAGTGACTTTGAACGGATAAAATTCTACAAAGACCAGAAGCCAAACGGTCTGATGGAAAAGGAAAATCATTTGCCTTCGGTCACTACACACAACACGTCCTATGTGCATGCTAAACTGGAAAAAAATATTCATAGCTTATGTAGTTTGTCAAAGCGCTTAATCAGCACATTCATTGACGGTTATACCGAATAACAGCATACTCCAACAAAATTTGACTATCCGATTTTTTATGTTGTAATTTAAAAAAGGGAATAAACTACCCCACAACACTTAAATCAAAAACAGAATGCTTGCAGATAGTTAGGGTAATTTATCTAAAAAGATTTTGTAATAGGATTAGAATCGAAAAACACACTGCTCGCTATTTCAATAAAACGCCAGCGATTGACAATAGTGTTAAAGCAGGAAAAGGGTTTTTACACTTTCGAATTTGTATAGATTCTATTATAAATTTAGTTAATAAATTTATTAGAAATATATTTATAAATAACTTCTGTAGACTTATAACGATAGGTTATATTTCACCTTTTATATCCTTATGTAATCATCTTTGTGCTACCAAAAAGAAGATAGCAAATACATTCTTACACGCAATATGTTGTTTTTAAAAGCGATTTTAAAACGAATTATATTTGTAATGAAAGGAAAATAGTGAATGTATGTATATGTACATATACATATTATGGAACTTGTTAAGTGCTTTTTCTGGACTAAATGTTTTGCACAATTGCACAAATTGCAATAGAAATATATGTGATAATAAAAAACGACTAGCTCAATAGACACCATGTTGTATAAATGGGTAAATAGTATTGCACCAAATTACTATCTTCTAATTGATGTCATGTGTTACGATAATAATACACAACAGAGAACAAATATCGCACGTTTATTCCTATAAAATTAGTACTTGAAATATATGCTTACGAATTTCACATGTTTTATCTTTCATACATGATTATATTTTGTGTAAAAAATAAGAATACAGTTGAGTGCCTATGTAATTAAAAAAACTGTAATTTCTGCAAAAAAAAGTTTAATAATATAATCGGGTTTTGGAATGAATCCATTCATACGAATTCATTCACTTTTAAAAGCTTTTATTAATTTAATGAATTCGTGAGTACATTTAATTTTTACAGTATGATTTATAAATATAAATTTATTCATTTTTATAAAAATGTGAATTTAAATTGAATTCGTTTTCGAATTCATCGAATGGTCATACAAAATAGATTGTTTTCAATTTTAATATAAATTAAAAATTTATATTATTTTCATACACCAAATAACTTTCAAGGTAATTAATTTATTATTAGTCATAATGATGAAGTAAGTTATATCGTAATTAATAGAGTAGTCTATGATTCATAAACCAGTCTCTTACTTAAAAAATAAGTCACGCTAAGATTTCTTTCTTTTTAATAATATACATTGTTTTAATAATCATTTATTATAAATTTATGCATTATAAAGGTACCAACTTTTCTGTTTTAACTGCAACATACTAGATATCTCTAATAAAATAATGAGTGATAAATTAATGAGAAATCTAGACTATTATTAACATCATTTGTAATACATCTGATGTATGATAAGTTAATTTAGATCTTTTATTAATTTTATTTTGATTAATTTAAACCATTTATTTTAATAAATTTTAGATTATGATAATCACTAAACTATTATAACTTGGTGAATATCATATTCTATGTATAATACATATTATTCCTGGACACTTTTTCTTAAAAGATAAGCTTTTACAAGATGATGTATTGTTTATACTATGACATTTTATGATTAATATGTAATAATAAAAAAAAAAAAACTTTTAACCATGATATTCAATAAACTAGTTGTTTAACTATGACTCCCGTAATATTTTTAAAAATATAAAATATAATTTTTTTTTTTTCAAAGTAATAAGACTCTAAGTTCTATAATTTTCAAAAAAATTTTTTAACGTTTTTGTGTTAAAAGTTATTAATTCTGTAATATAAAAACTGGAGCGTGGATCTGTTTATTTTATCTCTAAGCATTAATGAACGACACTACATCTCTTACCTTGTTATAAAAATGCTAATATATTTTACAATCTAGTTCAAAAGATGTTATTAAACAGTTTTTAACTAGATCATTTTCTAATTTGTAAGTTATTACAAATATATATTTTATATAAAATATATGTTTCCATTTAAGATAATTAAGTTTATAAAACTATTAAAGGAGAAAGAGAGGATGAGAACAATGAATTGCTTGCTGAAAATTATAGAACATAGGATACTATTCACTTATATTAATTTTAAAGATATTGGGAGAGTCATAGTTAATCAATCTCTCTGTATATCATAATAAATATAGCTATGAATTCGACAAAACGTTACAAGTTATTTAATTGCACATAGAAATCATGATTTATACATTTTATTGCTACCTAATTAAGTCAATAGTTTTAATAATTAAATTAAATTAAATTGTCTTCCGAGAAACAAAAAATAGTTTCAAAAGTAATGTGAATAGTTAACATCACAAGAAGCAAATTTTTTAATACATAAGGACTGTCGTTCAAAATATCAAAATCTCTAAGTGTCAGATAAAATTATGTTAAGTTTAGTTCAAATACATTTCTAAATATTTGATTAAAAAGTTATATATTTTTTATTCACATTAACATTGTTATTTGTAATTATTATAATGATTTGATGTAGATATTTAAGTTATTACATTAATACTCAGCAACATGTCCTCATTTTGTATAGTTAAAAAATCAATTTGAACAGAGTATTTAGTTTTATTCGATTGAATGTGTTTGACATTCACTATAATAAACTCATTTAAAAAAAAAAATTATAAAGCCAAAATATTTTAATTTTTAATATTATTATAATTATTTGCGAAGTGAATGATTAATATGCAGACCAGAGTTTAGTAAGTTTGTCAATCCATGTGTTGAGTAATTATAATATACGTACATCATACTTTTGTGAGTAATTCATGTGTCACCGTGTGTATCATTCCGATTAAATTCATTTAGATTTCTGCACTAACTTAAAATTCTGTTTACAGTTTTTGTTATGCACATGTTAAAAAGCACGACACGGACCGATGAACACGTGTAAAAATAAAACATGATATATTTTTGAATACGACGTTAAAACATTTTAATTACAACTTGACGTAATTAAGTTCAACATTTTCAACTTCAGTATTAAGAACTAACTAATGGGCGTCTAACATTTAGTCATTTAGTCATTTAAAATTTACATAATTTCGTCACTAACTTAACGAAAATTAAATATATTTAGGTATATAAACTTACAAATATGATACAAGTATGATGATGAGGGTATTTAGAAGAACTTAGACCACCAAAATTCTATATATCTATGTATTTAATTATAAAAACAAAACATTTTAGGAAAGGAGAATCAAAGTTAAATAAAAAGTCCATTTAAAAATGTTGTTTAAAATACGCTTATAAGTGTAATTTAAAATATTTTTATTTTAATTTAAATACATAAATAATTTTAGGTATTGTTTTAAAATTATTTCAAATATCATATATGTAGATATTTAAGTTAACGGAGATAATTTACCTCGTGATTATTATTTTTTACTATCATTATTTTCATAATGTATGACATTTTTCGACATCAAACCATAGGAAACTTAAAACCCATAAAGAATATTTCTTTTTTTTACTATTTATTAATACTCTTTATTTTTACAGGACTTGAATCAATATAATTTATTTTTTACAATATGGTATTTAAAATGTTAACAATATTATTAAATTATACGTTTTAAATAATTAAAACGTTTTAGATTTATGTTACATTTGCAATATAAAAACGTTATTGATAATTTTTATTACCTTATGAGGAATTAATCCGTCATTGCTTATGTATGAAAATTTCCCTCACTTAGTGTTTATATTGAGAAACACTGACTTGCTCGTAGTTATATTTTCTCCAAATTTATTATATCTTATAATTTATAAAAAAATCATCAATATATTTTCTTTATCTACTTAGTTTAATATAATTTCGTTTAAAGTTATGTGTTGATTGTCAGTATCAAACATTTTTCGTTAATTGTTGACATTTTTTTAACGTTTTACGGTTCTAATGGTTTTTTGGTAGTTATTATTTAATAACCATAACGTTGTAAAAACAGGTTGAAGCCCTGATTTAAAATGAAATAGAGTTTTTTTGATATTTTCCTTGATTAATTTGTTTTATTATACTTATAGTATTATTATTATATTATTATTACTTACCATAGTTGCAAATGAAAAACTCAAAAACAAAGTTTGGCATAGTATTATTATTCTGTACTATTGTTGTTTGTAGTCAAATATAATGATCATAGAATAAAATAGTAGTCTATATAATGTACAACAATATAGATTCTTTATAAACCCTCTAGGGGAGAGTTTGAGTGTACAAATGCATACTCGCACTTTACAACCAGAGTTGTACTCAATTATTGTATTTACATAACGTATCGCACGTGAGTATCATAGATATTACTAGATTGAACTTTTTATGAAATTGAAAGAAACGTCTCGTGGCATAAAAAGTAGAAAAACACATTTTGTCTGCTAAATTAGATTTTGAAGAACGTGATCCGTCGTATCATTGCTTAGCAACTCTTTAAATAGTTCTTAGTTGTAAGTAATTATTTATCAGAAAAGTTGAGGATACACGTCAATTTTCCTTATTCTATGATGGGCAGTCCTCAACAGCTTATTGACAAGATATCTTAGTATCTATTGTTTTTCTCAAATTACATATTTTAGTTTATATTATTTTAACTTCTCGTTATTCCTCGGCGATCATTTTCAACTGGTAAACAATCACTTTATCAATATATTCAATTACTCGATAGCAAATTTGTATCTAGCCGTTATATATAAGAAAGGTTCTAATAGATAATTTCAAATTTAGAAGTTTACTTGAACCATGATAGTGGAAACTGGCCGGAAAATAAGATTAAACGTTTGAAAATGATTTTATCATCCTCTACCTGTAGAAGATTTTATTAGTTGAAATATTTGGATGGATTTTAGCTTTGAAGCGATTAATTTGTTCGCCCGATTATACTCATTCAATAAAGCGACAATAATTTTAGTCGAAAAGTCTTTCTTTAACATTGCTCTTGTTTATAATATTATAAAACTGCAAGAGTCGATTAGTTTCAAAGGTATTAATGAGTTTGAGCGCAAGAAAATAGTTGTAAAATGCCATTTATATACATACCAATTTCCATAGCAATTATCACAGTAATGTAAAAGTTATAAGGATATACAACGTACGAATTTTAAGAGAAATACTCTTGAACAGATGCTATTTAAATCTACGAACACTGACGAATAATCGAAGGGTTCGAATGAGTATTTCGTTTCATCTCTCGTTCAAGGAGAAGCTCTAAAATGTGCATTTTTATAGCGAATGCGTTTAACACAGCTGGCCATAGTGCAAAATTTCGTATTAAATCCCAAAAGACTAGATAAAGGTTAATGCCATTTTTGGCGACTGTACCTACGTGTTTGTTTTTAATCGTATTCTCAAGAGCACAATTGATATAGGGGATCACTGTACTAACCTTTTATGTTTCATAAAATCATTGCAACGATAATCCAAGTTGATTATAATTTTACGTGCCTTTTTAACTAAAACAAAGTTCTTCAAAGATTATTATGGCGTTTTATTCCGTTTATGCACAAAAGCATTGCATTATTATGTTTAAAATAGCTTATTCATGTTTTTGCACATCATATATTCTTTGAAATATCATTTGTAATAATCCGCACAATGTTTACTAATTATACACAACACGTAGAATGAGTGCCACAAAAACAAGGTATGCAGGACGTGAAAGGCACACGAGTCCTGTCCCCAACTCGGTAGTTGCGGCACTGAGTATAGAATCGTTTTACAATAATTCAACTTAAAAATATTTCTCACAGAAAAAACCTTGTAACTAATGGCCATAGCAGTCAAAGTTGTGAATTTAATAGTAAAAAAAAAATTGTATATCTGTATGTACAGTAAGTTTTATAGTTTTTGAAGCGTTACTTAATAAATGAATTTCACATTTATTTTTTATACCAAAAATAATGTCCATCATTTTTACAGTAATTTCGTAGAACTTAAATAGTATAGTTAATAGAATAATTAAGTGCAAATATATGTATTTACAACTAACGTAACCGTATATATAAAAATTAATACAAGTTGTTATACAGTTCAAATTATTTAATTAACTACTAAAACACATTGCACATAGTTATGTTTATTCTTGCAAACATGTCGACAGTGATTGAATTATATAAATGTTGTACAGTTTATATAAAATACTAAACACATAAGAAGTTAAGTAAATGACGAAATTCAAAATACAAATAATGTGTGAACGTTTTTAATGAATGTTCAGTATTGAGAAAACGACTTTATTTTAATTTGCGTAGACTGGCAAAACGATGTACACAATTTTCATTAAACAAGATAAATATTATACAGGCGTACAAAATATATATATATATATAACACTCTCTCACGAAATCTACCAAAAATTACCAAAACATCTGGTATTTTCAGTTACAAACGTCTCTTTTCCTAATATTTTAGGGTAATCACTCCAAGAAGACGAATTACTGACTGGTATTTTACGCCAGTTGTCAAATTATATAAGCATGTCCGTTATTTCTCCAAAGAATTTGGCTGGCATATTACTGAAACTAGGTGAAAATTAAATGTTCATCTTGTAAACTTGATTTATAAAATTTCGAAAATTATATAATATTTTTTATGAAATACTTTCATTAAAATTTATTTATTTTAGTTCATTATTGTTTTAACAAGGGAAAATAAAATCTTAAGATATAATTCTCCTTTAAACTTTTAAAAGTTTAATTTTCTTGTGGTGTATTTATGATTGAAGATTACCAGGAAAAAAGAGGAAATTCTTAATACTTTTTAAATTGTGATTTTAATGAAAAAATTGTATTAAAGTATAAATGTAATTGTACAAGTAAATATCAAACTTCCTCATTTAACATAATTTAAAATTTGTATACAGAGTGTTTAGTAAGTAAGGAAACAAGTCAATTGTTACAAGCAATGAAAACAATAGAAACCTGTTACCTTACTGAACACACTGTATAATTAATAATATTTTTTCGTTTTAAAACTAAAACCACGATTCCCTCAATTCACAAGAAAAAAAACTAATCTAAATTTGATTTATTTTATACATTATAATATATTATATTGTAATACCATTTATACCATGTTAACGAATAATGTATACGTTATCTGCTCATTCATATAAATATCTGTTACTAATCATATTTTAAAGCATTTCGAATTTATGTCTTATACTTAACTAAGTAAGCCGTATAGTTATTTTTTTTTTAATTTTCACTATTGTCAACAACATTGTTTATTAACTAACAATAATTTAACTTTGGCTTATTTCGTTTTATCTCATCATTTTCTTTCGTATTAATTGAACACAATTTATGCATTTGTAGAACAATATTCAAAATTAAGTTAGGGATAGGATATCGTGCAGATAAAATTCAATATTTAATAATAACAACCATATAAGCTAAAATACGATATAGTTAAAACAATACCAGGCACAAACAATTATTATTATATTTGGCTAAATGCCAAATAAAAATATGCAAGACAATATCATTATATTTACATTTGAAAAAAAGATGAAACGTAAGAATACCCAATGTCGTTTTGCTAACCATATGTACACATATGTATCTACGTAATACTTCATTTATTATGTCTCTTGTATAGAACATCAAACAAAACTGAGCTGATTTACACAATATATTGAAATCCTGTTTATTAGGTTTCACTTTGTAGGAGGGAGCCAAATACCTATTCTCGACTATTGTTACCATAACATGTTTAGAATATATTATTACAAATCCTTGTCTCACTATTAATTAATGAAGTTAAAATTGTAATAAAGCATATTCGACACACCAGAGCTTATTAAATGTTATACCTTTTGTAGATATATTAAATATTACTGTTCATGACTTCGCAAGGCATAGAACCGTTGCAAATAAATTACTATGATAGTAAACTACAATTAAAGTAGAGTAAGCTAGCGTAAGTCCAATTCGTTATAATCGTTTTTTTATAGGGCAATCTATTAAAGACCCGTTAGATTAATTGATCAATTAAACTAGCTGGTAAAATTTATTCGAGATTAAGGAGTAGAGGATCATTGCTATGCGCTCATAAATAGCAGTGTCACTATCCTTAAACTTAATATTTTCCTTGTTACCTATATTTTCCAACAAAAGAAATAATAAATCATGTTACTACTAACAATAACTTTCATTATAGTTAATTTCTAATTTTGTTTTCAATTTTAAGCCAACACAACTGTGCGCAAAAGTTAAACAATAACACCTTAAATCATTATTTTATTTCAATTTTTATGATTTATCATTGTATAAAGTGTTTATTACAAAATAATTTTGTTTTATCAGTTAATCAATAATTGAATTAGAATTAAAAAAATTAAAAGTATAATTGAAAAATTAAATTCAGGCTTATAAATAATTTTTATCATAAATTGTTTGCTTCCTCGAATGTGTTAATCAAATTATAGGATATGTGTTTATAATATTTCATTTTCATTTTTTACTATTTGACGTTTTTCATTTGAGTACCAGTTACTATATAAAATTCTACATTTTTATTTTTTTTCCGCAACGATAAACAAAAATAACAAGTTTTAAGCTTGTAAAAAAAAAAATTCAAATAGTCAATATGAGAGTATTGTAATTATTTATTAAAAAATATACATACTGTCAAATTTATCAGGTCTGTCAGAGTACAGCAATTCACTTGGTTTACCGATATATCAGTAAATAAAAATCTTATAGGAATTCTTTAAAAAATTTGATTTTAAATGTCCTCATTAAGATAATCTGGGTCTAGCCAAAAATACCTTACAATGACTCATGATGATCATCGTCATACTTTATACTTAAGTATTTTAAGTTACTCTTGTTCTATATAAATATGACTTCAATGTTTGATACAGGTAACACTTCAGTGCTTCTGATTGTGTCATTCACGGTGGAACGTTACATAGCTGTGTGTCATCCCTTAAGAGGTCGTGTTCTGTGCACCGAATCACGGGCCAAGAGAGTCATTCTGTTCGTGGCTATATTTTGCATAGCTTGCACGGCCACTACACCCCACGAGTGGCACATATGGCTTAATCCGGATACGAATAAATTCCAAAAAAGTAGCACTGAGTTGGGTCGAAACGATACCTACAGAAAGGCGTACAATTGGTTTTGCACGGCGACTTTCATATGTGTGCCGCTGCTCGTGTTAGCCGTACTTAATTGGTTCCTAATAAATGCGGTAAATCAGAGCCGTAGGAACCGAACTCGACTCACCTGTCAGGTATGTATGAACTTAATGAAATTTTTAATATAAATTATTGTACACAATTATTTTTCAATATTTTCAAATAGCGTTTTTAAAAGAATCGTCATTTTCTAAGAAAAATTAATCGGGAAATTAAAAGTCACAGGTTTATCCGACTCTAAGACTTGCAATAATTAGACAATTCATACGAATAAAGTAATTTGCATACATCAAATACTCATTAATTATCGAATAATTATTGATAATTTGATTCACTTGAGCTATAATTTTACATTAGGGGGTTGTTCGGATTAAATAACTATTTATTTTAATATCTAGTCCCAGATGTTCGTAATCGCACTCGATATGCAATGAGTGCATACCTAAATAGATACCGTAAATTGTTAATCAATTTTAAAGCGTAAACACGTTTCAATTAAATTGGAATTCGAATATAAACGTTGTATCTAGTAAGTGACAAATGTTAATGTTTCGAATTGATGGATAAAGAGGAGGATTAATTCATTGAGGTTTGACTAAAATTAGCTTAAGTTATTTGTACAAAAAAAGAAAGCCATACGAGTATATGGCGGGAGCTAAGTTTATACATTTAAATAAACCCTTCCTCTTATATCTGGATATATTGGAACATAATCTTATCAACAAAAAGGGAAACAACAGTTTATTACTTTAGCAAATGTGAAACATCTATCTTCTTAGTAGGTAAGTATCAGATTCTGAAGTAATGTCTTGTGGCTATTTTAAGGCAGTCGACATTATGACATCAAAGTAAAAAATATTGGTAAAAGTTACCAACAAAAGATGAGTCGATTTCATTAAATGATCGTTTTAATAATTTAAATAGTATTTAAACAAATTTATTGAGTAGTGAATTGATAAATGCTTCCGGTTTACATTATGCTAAAAGAGTACAATTTATAGTATTTCTTTGAACTGATAGTGATTATCAATTTAAAAAATGATCATATTGTCCATTTTTAAAAATAGGTATACTTTTTTCTGATCGCCCCTCAATTTTAAACAGCCGTAATTCGTTGACAATCGAATAATATAAACTAATTTTTTTCTCAATTCAATAAACGAGTTTAGAGTATAAGGAATGATAGCAGAAAATCTATTTTTCGTATAAAGTAGTTCAATAAAGATCCATTGGATACAATGTTCAAAAAATTAAAAAATGATTAGCTCAAATATTTCTGAAGATATTTAATGAGGTTTAATTTATTCTCACAGCTTTTAATGATTATAATTATACTATAAAGAAAACTATAATTTTGATGTTAATTGTATTAGTTTTTATTGATTTTTTCACTTTGAATTAAAACATTAAAATCTTAAATTATGATGAACAATACTTTAACTTTAAATGCTAATAAATACTTGTCAACAATTAAAAAAATAATGAGGTTATTCCAGTAAAATAAAAATTTATTTTATGCGAAATGTTACAAAAAAAAAAATTTTAATCTTTAATATTGCAAAGTAAATATTGGCAATTAACAATACAGTAAATACACTTCCAAAATGTCCTTTTTGTTCACTTTTAAAACTTTTTTGTAAGATTTAAGGAGTAAATTTTGATGGAAAGAATATACATTTCCCTAATTTTATTTAAAACAGATTTCAATATTTAAAAATGTTTTCATTAAACTTATACCATAAAAATTATAGTATACAGGTTAAATAATACAAAATTATCAAAGTTAAAATTAATGTAAGAGTACAAGAAAGACAAAATAAAGAAAAAGATGTTGAAAATGGAAACTTTAGTAAATATAATTATACAGGAAAATTGACATTTACTGTCGTTTAAATTGAGATGTAATAATTTTTTTTTTTTAGTATAATAAAACCATGACATCATTGGCCATCTTTTTTTTTTCTCTCATAAACATTTTCAAAAATGGATTTGTTAGTTTGTTACAGAAGTTTGTCAATTACAACTAACATTAGTAGTTAAAATTTTTACATAAAAACGTTAAAACGTTAGGAAAAAACATAACTTATAAATTTAAATCTCTGACCTTAATGTAGCGAAAGCATAGAACATATATTTTTTTTATTTAATATAGTTAAATGTTTTGACGTATTTCCAATTGATTTAGTGGTTTGAATAAAATGCATTAGACTTGAATGTATTACAATAGGAACGAAAAAGGAATTACTTCTATTATGATATAACTATTGACGTACCAATTCATAACAAAAATAAAAAATCATTCTTGTTGGCTTTTATTTATATTAAAATTCGATTTATGATTTCCCTTCGTAAAGTGATTGATTAATATAATCAAGTCTTTGTAGAGTGTATGTTATAACTGTTGGTCATTTATTCTGAATAAGATTTTAAAAAGGTAATATGATATTATGAATATTCGAACTTAATCATAAAATAACTTGGATATCATTCATCATCAAAATTAAACTGTTAAGTTATTATAAGATATATATTTTATAAATTCAGTAAAGGTATTACTCTTAATAGAAAACATATTAATAAGGATTTTGACTGTTTCATTTAATTCTAAAAATAATTTATATTGTAACTTAACGTTGTCTATACATCAAGAGTACCTCAAGTAAGGGATAGATAAGGTGTTAGCTTTGCATTATGATTTATATCATCTTGTGCGTATAGCAATGTACTGATATAATAATATAATCTAAATCGATCTCTTATATTATCTGAAATCTATCAATCCTTTTAAATTTCTTGAAAAATTATTTAAAATTAATTTTTATATTAATGATATTATTATTTTTTGATGCACAATAAGTTCAAAAACTCTTAGATAATGTTTAAAAAGGGTAATTCTATACTGCTGAATATAGAAATCGGATAAAAATACAATTTTTTTTTAGTAATTTGAAAGGTTTTTCAAATATAAATTATTATTATTCAAAAAAAAATTATAAAATAAACATTAAAACTTTAACTTGGCCAAGTTAACATTATTACAATTATTTTTTTGTTTAATAAATATTTTTTACATAAAAAATTTCAATTTAAGGTAAATTGGAAGTTTTTTTTTTTTTTTGAGTTCTATTTTTGTACATATTTTTTACCTCATATAATGTATATACCTTACAATAACAAAATTTGTAACCATTATAATTTATAAAAATATTTTAAAAAAATTTTTTAAATAAATAACTAAAATTAGAATTGATTTTGTATGGAAATATTTGCATGAGACAATATGTTTGTAAGTGAAAACTAACAAAACAAAATAACACATTCAAAAATGAGTAAGTATTTACTTAAAAATAATTATATTAGTTACCTGTCATGTTTTATTATTAAAATAAAATCATACATTTTATTTACTCTTTTAAATGGTAATAGAAATTAATAATTTATATTTATAAGCTATTGAAAATATTAAGTTTATTGTAAGAAAAAATTATTCCTAAACACAGAGGTAATTTTTCAAAGTTAAATGAAAACATATTATTTTTTACTATACAATGGCGAATGATTTAAGTAAAATTTTGTCTCATTTTAAATATTAGCATTCAATGATTTAGAAAAGGTGGGGAGCTGGGTAATATTATCGACGCTCTATTTTTACCATAACGCTCAGATTAGAATTCTTCTAAATTGGCACCCTGTTCGCTAAAAACTAAATATTACAACTTAAAAAGTAATAATACAATACTATTTATCCGGCGACGGACTAATCACCTGTCCCTGGGTATCAATGGTTAAGATACCTCCTCCTTTGGGTCTATGGCCCTTAATGGGCTGATAAAGCGATAAAAAAACAATACTATTTATAGAAACAATAAAATTTTATTTTTTTAAGTCAATTCTTCATTTAATAGCTATAAAATAATAATAGGTTATCCCGTTTAGCTTTGAAATGTTGCCCCTAAAAGTGAGGAATACTTTTTTCTTAAGATAAAATTGATATTTAGAATGATTTAAAAAATTAATTAATTTTGAATCTATACATTTTTATGAAAAAATAATTGTTTAACGAAAAAATAGGGGGTAGTATTCTTAATAAATTACACTGAATATAAAGAGTCATTCATTTATCATGAATCACTTAATTAGTCGAAAAATAAAATTGATTGTCAATTTTTTATTCCGTTTTTTTAATACATGTTTTTCTTTTTATAATATATTCCTTAATCCTTATAAAAGTATCAACTTTATTTTTTCAAATGATAACATACTAAATTAACCAGCTTATTTAATAGATAATTATCCAATGAAATAAGCTAGTTTAGAATGTATGATACATTTAAAAAGTTAAAGTTGACACCCTTATAAGGTACAAGGGATGGACATGAAAATAATTTATTATTGATAAATTGAAAAAAGTATGTACCTAAAAGAAACAAAAAAAAGTCCTCAATGTTATTTTTACTTTTCAACTAATTAAGTGTTTCTTTTATAGTGATATGATCTTAATATTTAGAATCATTTGTACAAAATAACGGTGGTATTGACTAGGATACGAGATATAAGATTAAGTACTGATGTTTTATGCGATAAAAGAATCTAATGAGGTTTAAAAATAAGTTTTATAAGACTTTAGTGAGACCAACTATGTTATATGCACCACAGTGTTAAGTGATTGACAAAAATGTAGAGCAGAGAATGAGAATGCTTAATGGATAAGTGGAGTGACGAGAGAAGATAAAATAAGGATTAATATATAAGAGGAATTATAGGAATAACATCAATTTTGGATAAGATGAGAAAAAATAAGCTTAGGATGGTTGGTCATGTTATAAAGAGAGAAAAATCTGAAGTGACAAGAACGGCTATGAAAATGAATGTTGAAGGAAAAAGATGAAGACTGAAAAAGAGGAGGTCGGATATAAATGGAAGTGATATAAGGATTTTTGATGTGTATGTAGATGATGTAATGCCTCATGTAGAGATTTAAGATATAGATGGCCGACTACAAGTAGATGAATAGAGGCGAGGAAAAAGAAGATTAATTAAGTTGTTCATAATAAATGAATCAACATGTATATTTATATATATATTTATTAATATTATCATTGAAAAAGATAGTGTATATAATAATGATAAAATACTAAATACATAATTTAAATATAAAAAATATTAACTAGTATGACTTTTATCAAACTATATAAATATTTATTAACCAATCATAACAAAAAACATTTTTGATCGCAGTACGCAAAAAAATTATTTTGAATATTATGTGTATATTCGTTAAGTTGAAAATACAATGTTTAGTGTAAAGCGAATTACTTATAAAGGGACGAATAGTTAGTTGAATATTTTACTTTGATCAGAAGGCCCTAAATAAATTGACCAATTAATGACTAGAAGCTTAAAGCTAATGATTATTTGATTTATCCGAAAGATATAAATTGTTAAACTAATAAACAGTACATAACAAAAACATACTAAATATATGAAGAAACAAACATGATTACTGAAATTCTAAACATGAATACAAAAAACAATGTAAAAAAACAAATAGATATTAACACTATTATTATAAAATAATATACTGAGGAAGTCTAATCTAAAGTTTAATTTATGGACGTATTTGATACACATTTTTTATATGGACATATCTAATAATGTGTTACACATATAAGTAAAAATCAGTGAACAAATTTTATAGGAGTTATTTATTTAACACTATTTAAACTAAGTAGTACAAAAGCTCGTTCGAAATTTTCTATCGTAAACCAACCACGATAATCTAATAGAAAGTTCAAAGTATTTTAACAACTGGAATGTTTTGAAAGAGAAAAGGACTAACATAAAATTACCCTAAAAAAAGCCGTTCCCTTAAAACATTGTACCGTATATTGTACAATTTAAACGCCTTGATATCAATTATTTATGACTTCGAAATCAATTTAGAAAAACAATCTTTTTTTAGTGCAAATTTAATATATTTATAATATTGACATATTATAAAATTTATATATATATATTATTATATAATTTATATATTAAAATATAATAAACCACCATATAATATTAAGTAATATAAATAAATCAATTCACGCACCTCACGTATAAATTTCAAGTCCTTTTTTAATCAGAACTGGTCTTTTACACCAATACAGAACCCAACCCCACGCGGATTAGTGACATTAGAAAATAATCAAATATAATAAATATAATTGTAAGAATGCTGACAAAACACTGGTCAATGAGTAAATTGTCAAATCGCTTTGTACACAGTGTTCAGTAAGTAAAAAAAAAACCCAGCACAGGGGGGTCGCGGCACAGTGGTGACGTGGCATAGTTGGATCAAGTATAATGATATCTGACAGTGATTAAAATCACTATAAAAAAAAAACGCTTCGATGCAAATCTTTAGATAGTGTTTAATTTTAAAAAATTGGTGGATTATTCCAAAAGCTTCATAAACTGCTAGTTCCTTATTAATATCCTGATTAAGATAAAGTATGTCGAATGAAAAAGGGATTATTAAAAAATAGTATTTCCCATAAAAAAATTATATTGATCAATACACTTTTCAATAAGTTATAGCATTATAA